AATGTATTTAAAATTCAAAATATTTATTATTTTATAATTTCTTTTGTATAAAAAAATTACAATAATAATTAAGTTACTTAAATGTCTCAATAACAGATGTCAAAATCATAGCCCTTAGTGCGTAGCACTATTTTTGGACCTTTCAATGGAAGAAACTTCAAAGAAAATGAGAGCAAAATGAAAATTCCAAAACATTGCTGAGCCATAGGCCCATCATGCTATGTTATGTGCTTTGCATATATGTATATACAACAATATAAATATGTGTTACAGTTGGCATAATTTTGGAACAACAATCCAAAAGAATCTCTTTGTATTATTGATTTGATTAATTACTCTCCCACTTTTTCTGCCCTTGTTATTTTCCCTTTTCTTTTCAATTCCCTCACTCCTAAAATCTGTCGAACTCTAGAACCCAAAGAAGAAAAAACTCTTCCTTTCTTTGTCATAGTTTTGAGATTTTCTCTTATTAGAGAAAGATGAGTTGTACAATGTTTAAGCTTCTGATGATATTGGGTCTTTTGGCCACCTCCATGGCTCAAGCACCGACATCTCCACCAACATCTTCACCAACACCAGCTGCAACTCCACCATCTTCCCCAACAGCAACACCAACCCCATCTCCAACGCCAACGCCAACGCCAACGCCAACCCCAACCCCATCTCCATCTCCATCACCAACGCCAACTCCAACCCCATCTACAGCCCCTTCAACAGCTCCAACCCCGTCACCCACCACTTCCCCAACTCCTTCTCCTTCATCAATCTCCCCTCCTGCTCCTACCCCATCAGGTGTACCTGCTCCAGCCTCCGAGCCTTCAGCTAACCTTGTCCCTCCTCCCTCCCCATCGGGTGTACCTTCTCCAGCCTCCGAGCCTTCAGCCAACCTAGTCCCTCCTCCCTCTGGCGCCTCCACCAACGGTGTTTTCGTTGGTGCAACCGCTCTTGCTGCTACTTTCTTCGCTGCCCTTTTGGCTTAAGAAAGTGAGTTGCTGCTACTTTCTTTGGGGCTGTACCTTGCTTTTGATCATGATTGTTTTGATCATGATTCTTGATTTCATGCTCTTTGCCCTTTTGTTAGTGTTTTTCCTTTTACTTTATTTTTCATTTTTTCCCTACTTTTTTAATTTTAATTTATTTTTTATGTACGGTGATTGTTGATGTTAATATTATTTTGATGGGTGACATGTGTACCATTTGATGAGATGGGACGGTTGTAGAAATTGGGCTAGTGTACATCTAATAACAGTGGAATAAAACAGTTTGTTATTCTTTTTACATAAAAATGCAATTAGTCACGTTTATCTTTTTTATTAATTTATATTATCAATTATTTGTTCTTTATTTAATTAACATAATTTTGCAAGTGATAATGTTAATGGGTACTTTTCAATAATTTAATCTAAATAAGACACTCGATGAAATGTGATTTTTTTAGTGTTTTTCCTTTTACTTTTATTTTTCATTTTGTCACTGCTCTTTTTTAATTTTAATTTTTTTTTTATGTATGGTGATTGTTCGTGTTAATATTATATGATGGAGACACGTGTACCATTTGATGAGATGTGACGGTTGAAGAAATTGGGCTAGTGTATATCTAATAACAGTGGAACAAAACAGTTTGTTATTCTTTTTACATAAAAATGCAATTAGTGTTTATCTTTTTTATTACTTTATATTATCAATTATTTGTTCTTTATTTTATTTACATAATTTTGCAAGTGATAATGTTAATGGGTACTTTTCAAGAATTTAATCTAAATATGACACTTGATGAGATGTGATTTTTTTTGGTAAGAAAAAAAAAGATAAATAGGTTGTTCAATTTGTCAAATTAGATGTATCATATTTAATATTTTAAGATAAGTGAGTATAAATTATGCATTTAATATAATTTTAATAAATGATTAACAATAAAATTCGAATCTAAATTTTTTTTATAAATTTTAATCAATTAAATCAATTATTTATTGAAAATAGAATGTGATTGAACACTGAAGAAATGACTTTTTGTTTAGTGAATGATAGTCGGTGGAGGCCTATTTGAATAAAAATTAAGGAGAAAGAGTTAGTATGTTTTTAGATAAAATTTGAAAAGTTTCATATAAAAAATTAAAATTAAAATTGATAAATTGAACGTTTTTTATTGCATAGATTAAGTTTATAAATTAAAAAATAAATTAAATGTATAAAATTTAAAAAACTTAAAAATATTTTTTGGATATATATTTTTAATAAAATTTTTATCAAAATTTTTATTAATAAATATTTAATAAATTTGAATTATAAATGATATTTTTAATAAATTTTTAAATATTACTAGTTTTTATATTAAACTTTATTACATATAATTTGAATTTTTATCAAAATTTTATTAAATCATTTTAAGAAGAAATTTCACTTAAAAAATTTTATTTACTATAATTTCAAAATCAATACACAAAATCATAATAATATACAAAATTACTTTAATTTTAAACAAAAAATTGATTTTCCCTTTCTTAAAGTCTTAACATACTCTTCTCGCATTAGAAAATACATTTTATAATTAAATTTCAAAAAATTTGAAAGTCTTGAATACATTCTCATGGCATAAAAAGATATATTTTATGCTTGAATTTATATTTTTTTAATGCGGTGAATCGGAATCCCAATTGAATAATAAGAATCACAGTTTAAAAAGTTATTAACTTAACAAGAGAATGATTTTTCTGCCAATAATAACGAAGGTATCATACAAAAATTAAGGCATTATTGAATTTGAGTTTGTAATTGAAATGAAAACAAATGAAGAATACATTGATGACGGAGGAGGGTGATTTTAGTTTTTAATAATTTTGTGGCCATGTGGTTTGGATTTAAAGTTTGACTTAAAAGTAAAATTGGGGAAATACTTAAAAAGAAACTTCCACGGGCAAGGCGAAGAGATGATAGGAAAAATATTGAGATGAAGATTTTTAAGTGAAACTTATAAAAAATTTTTTAATTAATTAAATAAAAATTAAAAATAAAAGTGATAGATTAAAAAGTATTATTATTTAAATCAAGTATATAAATTTAAAAAAAAATTAAAATTTTGATTTATTTTTTAAATAAATATTTTTAATAACAATTTTAATAGAATTTTTATAATTGATAAGTATTGGTCAAAATTTTATTATAAATGATATTTTCAATAATTTTTTATATATTATTGATTTTTAATTCTATCAATATATCAACTTAAATTTTTTTATTAAATTAATTTTATATAAAATTTTATAAATTTCACTTAAAAATTTGCGTAAATTTTTTCTAGATAATGCCAGGGGGAAAAGCTGTAAAAGTTGGAATTTTAGTAATAGAATGGTTAATAGCCTAAAAGGCTTGTCTGCTATCATTTTCCTGGTTTCTTTCGGTACATCACCAAGCTTTATTTATTTATTTGTATGTTTTTAATAAAAAATTGTATTGAATATGGACCGACAAATATGGTAGGACCCAAGAAAACAGACCGTGAAAATATGACAATTCGACTTTGAGGTTGCAGCAGTTATCATCACCATTAGCTTTTCATCACAACTGGAAAAGATAAAATAATTACTTAAAATTTCGAAGGCAATCAATTGAAGCCAAGACACGCCCTTTTTCTAATTCTATTTCTTTTCTCTGACCTATATCTTCCAAATTTTCATTGGGCATTTGCTCTTTCTTTTCCACACTTCTATGTAATAAGAGAATAACTCAATGAATAAAATCATATAAAATAAAATTTTAACATTTAATTTAATTAGTTTAATAGTTATTTTTAAAAGATAATATTTAATTTATATTTAAATTTCAATATTTATAATTTTTTTAATAAGAAAATCATTTATAATGGTTTGCACGGGTTCAAACCCAATCGAACTCCAACTTTCCTCTACAAGTAACAACACATGGCAAACAAAAGAGATAAGAGAGGATAAAAGAAAAAAAAAAAGGTTGGATTAGGAGCTTCGAGCACCATATGCAAGTTCTAATTGTTGAGGTCTTTTTAGAAAGGGATAACGTTAACAATGACTTTTGAAGTATAGTAAAATATACAAGTAGCATTCTGTTATAATTACTGATATGGGCCTTCAATCTACTAACCTTTCTGGTCCAGTGTGGTGTATTGTATGTGAAGAAGTGGGCTGAAATCAGTTGGAAACAAAAATCAATTTCAAGTTCTCTACAGCTTGAACTGGTCCATTAGCTTTAAAATTTCCGATAGCCGTATAAACCAAGCATCAACAACAACCATTTTTGGGCATGAGCTCTTCGACTGATTTTACATCACACTATATATATGACCATTGTTTTCATACACATAAATAATCTAATTATACGTGATAACAAATAAATGGAAAATCATACGTTTTTTTTTTTTTCCCTTTAGTTGGGCGGTTTGGTAAGAGGGTAGGGTGACCTAATGGTCTTTTCTTATATATGAATATTGTTTGTTTGAGATCTCAGTGGGAGCTTTATCTCCTCTCCTTTGTTTTTCCAGCAAAAGCATGTAAGTGAAACCTTAATGCAGAAATGTTTTGTTGCAGAACATTTACAAACAGACAAAACTTTTACAACACTTGCATTTTGCGTTATGGAAAATGAGGTTTGTCATGGATTTCAGCACATTTCACAAGAAAGTTGGTAACATCGTCTTGTAACGTTCGCCCACGTTGGACCGGTGATTTGCCGTTTTGTAACTTACCTAAAACGATTATGATTGAAAAAGAGGGATCCCATGCCTGAATGTAAGTCCAACATGGGAATCCAATCGGAGTTGGTTTGACTTCTGCTCAATGCCAGTGACATGTTTTGATAAATATTGTTAAGGAGATCAAGTTAAATTAGGATAATCAAAGGATAGTTGGCTCATGTACTAAAAAAATATATATTATTTTGTTATTTGAATCCGAATTTATTAATCAAAGATTGTGACAATATAATTTTTAATAAACGTATTAAATTTAATATAAATAAATTTATTTGTTTCGATAAAAAAAGAGATATCCAAATTTGCAAGTAAATGACTTAGAATGTGAACTGAAGGAGCAAAAATCAAAGAACAATAACAAACAGTTGAAACCACGAAATTACATACAATCTCAAATTGGTTTTATACAGTAGAATTTACAATCCCCATCAGGCACATGATTCAAGTACCGATTCATAGCTTAGAAACCTTCCTGAACTGAACTTGACTGAGTCATGACTATGGTTCAGAGCTCGCTCCCCAAACCGAGCTGACTCACTGACCATCTTCCTGCTTCCCATAGTCAACAATCTTCCTTCTTCTCTATACACTTTACCGTTCCCAACTTGATCCTTTATTTCACTTATTAAAACCCAAATAGCCTCAATCAACACTTTCTTCCTCTGGGAAAGCGATAGCAATCTCTCTTTACAATCCTCCAGTCTCTTCAAAGCACACACCAACTCAAACGAGTCAACAAAGCTCAAACAACTGAGTCTCTCCCTAAACTCTTTGACTCGGATTGAAACCTCGTTGATTGATGACAAATAGTCCTCACCCACCAATCCTAGGACCTCATCCACCAATATGTTGCCATTAGCATGTGAAGAATCCGGCCTTTTGGAAATCTGTTCGAGCAAATTCACCAAAGAGTTGATTTCTTTAAGCAATTCACTGTTTATAAGTGATGTTACTTTCTTTTCTTTATCTTTATCTACGCCGCTTGCAGTTGAACATAGAAAGTACCCCAAAACTCTTGAAGTTGATAACAGATTTTCAAGGTATAAAGCATACCTGCAATTTTGCCATCGAAAATACATATATATAATTTTGTAAAAAACGAAAGCGACAAAGTACGAGAAACTAACAAACAAAAACGTACCATCTAACCCAAGAAGAAAGTTCCCAAGTTAATGGTGTCGTATTATCTCTGAAATTCGATAGTTTAAGGTAGTTTCTGCCACCGGCGGAAGGGTAAACTGAAAGCTGATCTTGAAGAATAAAGCTGCCACGTTTAATGATGTGATGAACTGTGATGAGACACTTAATGGAAACGGAGGCATCACGGGTGGTTTGGAGGCGGTCCATGAGGGCCTCGATGGCGGTGGAAGCGGTGGCGCGTGAGCTAAAACCGAAGGAAAGTAGAGCCGCCAAGTGCTTTGGGTCGGGTGGCGTGAAGGGGTCATGGGTTGTGGCTCTTAGTAAGGCTAGATGCAGAGATAGGGTTTTGGGAATGGAAACCAAAGCTGCTTTGCCTTGAGAAGCTTTGTCTTTGATGATTCCTATCAAGTCTCTGAGAACGGTCACACGCCCCATTGAAGAACAAAGAAAGAGATGAAGGAAACTCAAAGAAGAATAATGAAAAGATCAACGGAAATTTATTATTAAGACTTGGGTTATGATCATTTTGGTGGGGTTTATCTATTTAAATGCTATCACTTCTTTTGCTTTCTATATTGAGAAAATATTATCCACCTTTTTCAATAAAATTAAAGAATAGTTTGAATTTAATTTTTTAGTGATTTTAAAAGTATAATTTTTTTTTGTTTTGGTATAAAATCTTACGTTCGGGCTACAACTTATAAAAAAACATATCTTAATTAAACACAAAATTTAGTTCAATTGACAAGTTTGAAATTTAAATCCAACATTTATAATTCTTTCTCTTATTTTTAACATGTGATATTTTTGTAAAAAAATAGTCTTAATTTTTTAAAAAAATTTCTAGACTAATTTTTATGATTTAAAAAATAAAATTATATTTAATGTATTAATAGTATATAAAAATTATATACCGATGAATCATATAACAACATTTTATTAAAAGTTATTTTTAAAATTTTAAATTTTTAAAATTAAGATATTGTACCATGTTTAGCATAAATATATTTGATCCTAAAATATATTTAAAATTAATATTTTACAAGGAGTTATTATATGATTTATTGATAATGTATAATATCTATTAATTAATAAAGTATTAAATTTAATTATAGAGTATACTATTATATGAGTACAATAATATTGGAAGGATATTTTATTTTTCTAAATAATAACCAATTTTTTTAGACACATTGACATTGAGTAGTCAAACTTTTGGTAACATCTTGAGCCAAAAGAGATATACCAAAATGTCTATTTTTATTTTAACTATTACAAGCCAACTAATATGGCTGAAATATTAATATTTAATTAAAGCTGGTGTTTTTGTAAAATCAGACCTTTCCTTCAAGCCATCTTTGGAAAAACATTTGACACACAACTTTGACATCTGTGACCAACATTGCATTTGTTTATGTCCCAAAAAAAAAATAAAAATTCAGGCTTGTTTCTATTCAAAACTAGACTTTTTTAATATATAAGTTTATTTGTAATTTTGTATACATATTTGTAATAATTATGTTAGTTTATGAATAAGGTCATAATTAAGCTCAAGTGTTGCTTGATCTACAAAATTGAGTGAAAGATTACTGAAAATTTGAAACTAAAAATTTAGTATTCTACAAAAAAATTCCTGCGGCTCTTTTAAAATAGGAAAAACAGAGCTCAAAATAATTTGTTACATCATAAACAAAACCTTCAAGTAGTAATTGGTATAGAATGATTATCTAAAAAATCATAATAATTTACATATAGTAATTAGACCACTGAATTTGATAAGCACTTGATGATTTTATGTGATAGTAATAATTTCGGATTATTAAGAGTGATTAGATCATTGTTATGGATGTTGATTTAATTTTCATTCAAAATAGTGTAAATATTTTATTATTAAGATGAAGTGATGTTCAAAATTAATAATAGTCAATATCATCTATTTAATATAAAAAAATAATATTTTTTATTTAATATATGAATAAAAAACTTACTTCTTTTTAAATTTTAATTATTTTATATTATAAATTTTTATATTTTCAAGCTAATATTTATTACATTAAAAAATAATTTGTGTGCTTTCTTTTAATTTTATATTTTTTATATAAAATATAATCATTTATTTCTTTTTTGTTATGATTTTAATAAATTAATTTTATTTTCTAATTCAAATATTTTTTACATAATTTATATTAAAAAATTTATTTACCTATCAATAAATATATTTATTAATTTAATAATTTAATTATATTTTACTATAAAATAAATAAAATAATACTAATATTTTATAAACTATTATCTTTAAACAATAGTGATATCATTAACTTATGTGACTGTTACAATATTTATGGTTTTTTGGTACTTTCAAACAAGATATTATTTGATTTTTAGTAAAATCAAACATAATGATCTTTAATTTTTAAGAATTAATGATTGTTAATCAAATAAAATAATTTCAAATCATGAGTGATAATATCATTTTAATAATAAAATTACCTTGATGATTAAATTACCATAATTTTAAAAAAGATATTAAACTCTACCGCAATATTTAATTATTTGCCAGACCTAATCTGGAATTTAATCAATAAATTTGGTTTATTATGCAAAATATGGGGAAACAGGCCGACACTTTGGATTGAAGAAATTAAGATTGAGCTTCCCTCAATAATTATATTATATGATGTGATAGATAGCATATGGTAAAATTGTTCTTTGCTACAGATTAATTAATTTTAACTTTTATGTAAAAATATAATTAAAAAATAATAAGTAAATGAAGCTTTAAAGTATTTTTTATTTCATAATTGCTTTGATTAATCAGACTTAATAAAATACTTCATCAATTACTTTTTCTTAATAAAGTTGAAATGTGGATATATAGTCAATTCCTTGCTGAAATATTGCCTTGACATTTCACTCAACAGTCATGCCCGATTAAGGTCTGATCCACTTATAGAAATCACTCATCCAATGGTATCAAACTTACGGTCCACGATCCATTGGTACGTATAATATATGTTAATTTTATTTTGGTATTGGTGCAATCGATTGGTACATTATAGTTATATTAAAACATGATATATTTATAAATAATTTTTCGTATTAGATTTGATACCGGATATTATCAGTTGTTTTTGTTAATTTTGATTGATTTTGATAAATTTTAGTATATTAATTTGTTTCGACTGATATATAAATATAAAATATATTTTATAATTTTTAACTTGATTTTTATTGTTTCACTATTTTTAACTTAATAAAAATAAAATTAATTGATAAAATAACATTTTAAAGTTAAGTTTCTCTATTTTTTTTATTGTAACTTGTTTTCTTTTAAATTTTATTTTTTCGAATTAAAGTTCATGAATATTTCAATCTCCTTCAAGAAAACAATCATTCACTCTTTCTAAAGTTTAATAACCATGAATTCAAGGTTAATTTTTTATTTTTTTATTTTTATCTTAATATTTATATAAAAAATTACTTATTTAAATATCATATGATCATATTAAGTATTTAAAAATATTATAAAAAATTTATAATATTATTTCTTATACTTTTAAATTTATTTATTTAATTTTTGAAGGTATTGCATAATTTATTTTATAGATTATTAATAATATTATAATGTACAAATTCATGTGTATTTATAAATATATTTGTATTAAATCAAAAAATCCAAAATAATATGCCTAAACAACTAATATTGGTATATACCATATTTTTAAAAAAATTTAAATATTATTCGATATAATATTAATAATTTTGCATACCATAAGATCAAAATTATTAACTTTTTTTTTGGTACCAATCATTTAGTTGGTACAATCTAGTTATTTCAAAATATGATACACTTAAAAGGTGATTCTTCTTACCAAATTTAATGCTGGATAATATCGATTATTTCGTTGGTTTTGATGAATTTTGACTGATTAGCTTGTTTAGAGCGATATGTGAACATGAAACATTTTACGTAATTTTTAACTTATTTTTTATTATTTGATTATTTTTAATCTAATAAAAAATAATACTAATTGATAAAATAATCTTTAAAAGTTGAGGTTTTTTATTTTTTACTTTGACCTGTTTTCTTTATATTTTATTTTTTAAAACTAAAATTTATAAGTATTTTAATCTCTTTTAAGAAAAACAATTATGATCCCTTTATAAGGTTTAACAATAATGAAATAAAGGTTAATTATTTTCATCTCTTTATTTTTATCTTAATATTTATATGAAAAAATATTCATTTTAATATTATATGATCAAAATAAATATTTAAAAATATAATAATAAATTGATGATATTATATTTTATACTTTTAAACTTATTTATTTGATTTTTGAATATATTGCATATTCATTTTTATAAAATATTAGTAGTTGTATTATATACAAATTGATATATATTTATAAATATATTTGTGCAAAACCAAAAAATTCAAAAGAATATGTTGAAATAACTGATACTAATACATAAATATCTAATTTTATCCAAATAAATTCAAATTTGTTTGATTTTTGATATTTAACTTGAATAATTTGATTTAGGTTAGATTTATCAAATCAAACCGATTAGGCTTTGTTTAAAATTAGTTAATTTTAAATAATTTTTTATATGAACTCAAATTTAATTCCATTTAATTATTGAATCAATTGAATTTAAATTTTAAGGTCCCATCACTCTTAAGACTCTTAAAAAAAAAATCATAAAAATTTAATTACAGAAAAAAAAAGGAAATAGATTTGAAGGTCAGTAAGTAGGGCACCAGAAGACAGGCCCTGCACTCCACCAACCCCAACACTCTGCTCAACTACCCTGCAATCCACCAGCAATCCTAACTCTACACCATCCTGCAAAATTTGTCTATTATGAGAATTTACAGATTAAAAGGACTAAGGGGAATTCACACCGTGAGGGTTTTTTTTTTTTTATTTCTGGAAACAACAAACAAGAATTGCCATAGAAAAAAAAATTTTGACCCTCCACTCTCCTCTTCCTATAAGCCCCAATCACCAACCCTAGTCACAATCCCTGAGACCTTGGCCAGCCGAACCAGCCCTTTCCTCACCCACACAAACCAGACACCATTCCCTTCACTGTCCCTTATAGAGCAACAAGCAACCATTTTCTCACACCCCAACCGAACCTCCATCACAACCCCTCATCATCGTCCCTTCCCCTGAGCTCAACCTGAGCCCACTTCAGGGCCCTGCCAACCCATTTCCCACACCCCAACCAAACCTCCATCACAACCCCTCATCATCGGTCCCTTCCCCTGAGCTCAACCTGAGCCCACTTCAGGGCCCTGCCAACCCATTTCCCACACCCCAACCAAACCTCCATCACAACCCCTTTCCAGAGCCCACTTCAGAGCCCTCTGTGAACCACTTCCATCCCACTCCAGCCGAAGCCCCATTCGACACCATCCCCAAGCACTACAACCACAAGCAACCAAAATCGGCAAGAAACATAAACCCAAAATCAGTTTCTGGATATAGCAGCCCAGACATATAGAAAA